GGCCTGGGGCTGCCGGGGCCAGGGGCTGCCGGTGCCCGGGGGCTCGGGAGGGCCCCCCGGCAGCTGCTGCTGCTGCCGCTGCTGCTGCTGGAGACCCCTGTTTCCCCCTCTTCTTGGGATGGAGGATGCTCCGGGACAGGGCGGAGGTACCGGGACGAGGCACGAGATCCACCAGGCTGGGCTCTGGATTTCCCAGGGCAGGATGGGCTCAGGAGGTGCAGGACTGAGCCCTGCGGTGACAGAGCCTGCTGCCCCCGACCTCGGCCCTCCAGGACAAGGGGCAGGAATAGCTGAGCATCTCTGAGGGCCAGAAACATGGAGGAGGGGAGACAGGCACTCCAGCCTGCCAGGAAGCATCTTCCCAAAGCTGGCACTGATGGCACCTGTCCAGCACCTGTCCAGCACCTTTCCAGGCCAGCTGTGCTGTTCCAAAGCCCCCACCTGGCCAAGGGGACGGATCCTGCAGCCACAGAGTGTTGCCCTGTACCACACACCCAGGGACCAGAGGTGCAATGTCCTTCCCCAAAACAAGTCCCAGGGCTCTGTTTGGGCACTCAGTGGTTCTTCTGCAACTGTCCCTACAGAAGGACCATCCTTGGAGGGGAAAAGCCCCTTCCAGCCCAGCACCAGCATCAGCCTGAGTGAGATGCAGCTGGCTGGGAGAAGGGAAGGACAAGTGCCACCTGGGATGCAGCAGGGCGTCTGGGGGAGCTGGGGATGGGGAGATACCATCAAATTCTCAAATTCCTTCTTGAACTTCAGCTGTGCTTTCACTTTGCCATGTGCCCTCAGGAAACGTGTCCTCAGCATCCCCAGCCACCTCCACTACCGAGCTGAGATTCCACAACCCTTGACATCTCCCTTCCCATGACGGAGCAGACCAGGAAGGTGAAAGCTCTCAGTCTAGAGGAGGGTTAGGACCCCCCACCAGACTCCAGGACACAAACTCTGTGGACAGACCCGTGGGTTTGGAGGTATCCACCATGAAGCAATTTAGGACTTTTTGCAGACAGCCCTGAGCTCACAAGGAGTGGATGTTCCATTTCCAGGTGCCCTTTACAGGCCATTTCCAGATCCTGGCAGGATCCAGTGTGCTCTCACACCCGTCCCCCTTCCCCTGGAGCCCTGGCCCAAGCGAGGCTGCTGTGAGCCGGCTGTGGGCAGGACCCCGCGCAGGTGGGGACAGGCATTTCCCGGCAGCTGCCTCTGCAGAGGCACCGAGGGCTCTGCGGTTTGGAAAGTCGCTTTTCTGGTCGGCGGGAGAGCTGGGGTATCGGTTCTCAAAAGCCCCAGAAAAATCCAGCGGCTCGTGTTTGCTGCCCCGCTGCCGGGGCTGCCCTGGCCTCACCGCCTGAGCTGCCAGGCTGCTCACTTGCCAAACCTGCAGCATTTTCGGGCCTGCCTGAAATATTTGAGCGTCATTTGGTGCAGGGGGAGGAGCTGTCCTGACTCATCTCAGCTCCCAGCCCGCTGACGCTTTTCTCTCCCGATTTCCCACTCCGGCTGCTGGCGCACATTTTTCCTCCAGTTTCTTCAACGTGAGAGCTCCCTGCCCTACTTTTTGCAGCGAATAAAGCTCTGCATCGTTTGTTTTCTTGCTGGTACAAACCCCAGAGAGCTCCGGGGCTGGAGTGTCACTGAAGGGCTGCTTTTGGGAGCCTTGCGGGAGCAGAGCATCCCCGGGGCTGCGCGGTGTGGATGCGGGCCCAGCCTGGGAGCTCGCAGGGAATGGGCTCAGCTTGGTGAGAGGCGCTGTGTTCTTGGAAAAGCGCTGCGGGCACAGGAGGTGCGGCTTTCAAGGACCACCACCTTCATTTTGCTCAGGGGGATGGCTCCTTTGCATCTGCACTGCAGCTCCTGCCAGTCTTTACACATCCCGGGGCACTCGGGCTTCTGCAGGGTTCCTGTTCCCCCAGAGGGACAGTGACAGGGCACACTGCTCCCTGGGGACAATCCCCTAAGCAAAGTTCCAAGCCCTGAGCGGTGACTGCAGCTTCCCAGGAAGGGAGATAAGAACCACGGAGGCTCGGCCTCACAGCAGCCCCAGCCAAACAAGCCCATCCTGCTCGGGGTCCTGTGCAGAGTCCTCTCATCACCTCCTCTGCATCATGAGCCAGGGGACAAGGGTCCTGCGTCCTGATGTGGCTCCGGCCTTGGAGCAGCTCTAGCATGGAAATTCCCTGCAGCCAAGGGAAGGCAGTTGGATCGAAAGGTGTTGTGAAACAGCAGGAAATGATCTTGTGCCTCGGTCGGTCTCAGCACTTCCCCAGCTCCAGCACACGACCGTGCTGCCACCCGCTGGCACTGCCAGTGTGAGGCTCCCTGGACCGGGCACGGCAGCGGGGTGATCTGTCATCCAACATCCTCCCAGCCCACCTGGAGCCAAAGCCTTGCTGCCCAGACCCATCTCAAGCCAGCTGGAGAAAGAGCCACCCATTTCATCCTCCTTGTTCCCTTCCTGAACATGTTGGGCTGCCCAGACAGCCCTGGCTGCAGCTTTCCCAGACCATTCCACAGGGGATGAATGCATCTGGGGGGATCCCAGGTCACCCTGTGTCCCTCATGGCACAGCAGGACCAAAGCTGCCCTCCAGAGTCCAGAGTCCATGTTCAGAATGCCTAAAGCTGAGCATGCTGCAGAGGCAGGCCCTGGGCTGCTGGCACAGTCACACCTCTGTCCCACAGGCCGGACCTACTGGGAATTCCCAAGGTCCATCTCCTGCCCAGACTGCAACCCAGCAAGCCTGAAGGGTGATTCACCAGGCAGCTCAAGGGCTTTGATTTCACCAGGACTGTGTGAAAGTCGAGGTCAACTCCCCCTTTTGACAGCAGAACCGAACCTGCTGCTCTGTCTACCCAGCAGATCAGGGGCTGACGTGCTCCCAGCTCTTCCCACAAAAGGTGATCTGCACCTGGAAGCGTTTTCTGGAGCTCAGAGTACAACTACTGATCAAGGACTCAGCCCTTCGTGATCGGTGGCTGCTGCTGAACTGAAACAAAACAACCCAAGCTAAGGAGGCCAAATCCCTCAGGAGTTCAAGTGTTACAGACACTAAACTGACACTTGTAACAGTCAGATCCCCAGAATAGAAGGTTGGGTAGGTGTTTCCAGCCCTGCTTGTCCACCCCTCTCATGTGCGAAGCCTGGTGCTGCCTCCAAGCCACAGCAGCAATGGGCTTGTCCTGCTCAGCCTGCCCTGGAGCCCAGCAACAGCCAGTGGATGGTCCTGGAAGCTCCATCCTGCTCCTGCAGCCCTTGTACAGGACCTGCAGGCCCAGGGCTCCGTGACCTCTGTTGGCCATCACCATACCTGCTCCATCCAGCTGGGAGCTGCAGGTTTCCCACAGGGAAGGAAACCCAGCACAGCCAGGGCAGGATCTCCCTCTTGAGGCAGGAATGTGGCCCATGGCACAAGCAGTGACAATTGCAGGTTCTGAACAGTGTGGCACAGGCAGGGGGGCGAGTGTGAGCCCCCCACCTCACCACCCTACAGCAGTGAAACCAGTGACAGAGTGAAGGCTGGACCCAGCCCTGACCAGGCAGTGTTTTATTGAACTGTTTACTCAGCTATTTCCCAAATCCCCTCTTTCCCACACCAACTGTAAAAAAGCTTGGGCATCTGGACTGAACACCCCTTCCCAGCCCCACTCACACCCTCCCCCCATGTCAAGGCTCAGGTAAATGTCTGTGGTCTCTAGTGTGGCACAGTCCAGAGGTACCGAGCGAGGGGAGCCGAGGCAGCAGACTCAGCTGACAGGTTTTGGAGCAGTGCCCACTGCCTGTTCCATGCAGCACTGGGATCTCCGGGCAGCACAAGGGCCCTTCATGTTTTTATGGCTGTGTCCCGAGACTTGTAGGCCACGCCACGGCTCTTCAGCTCTCGGACAATCCCTGCAGCAAGGAGACAAACATATTTCAGTCTTCTCCTGGAATGAGGATCCCTGGGAACATCTGGTGGTTCTGTCACATACAACTGGACAATCATCTTCCTTTAAAGAATCATGGAATATCCTGAGTTGGAAGGGACATGGCAGTCCATGGTCCTGGCCCTGCACAAGACACCCCAACAATCCCACCCTGTGCATCCCTGGGAATGTTGTGCAAACACTCCTGGAGCTCTGCCAGCCTTAGGGCTGTGGCCATCCCCTGGGGAGCCTGTACAGTACCCCACCATCATCTGTGAGAAGAACCTTTCCCTGATACTCCATTTAAACCGTGGGTATTTCAGATGTGCCTGGCTGTGTCAGAAGGGCTCAGCTTCTGGCCTCATGATGTTTCCAGCTTCTTCCCAAAGCAGAGCTCAGTCAGAAATAAGGAACCTCAGATGCCAGACACAGGCATAGCTTTCACCTGAGGAGTTTGGGATTCACTCCTGGGTTAGGTGACTACTCTGGGGCTACATACTGGACAGGAACTCAGCTGGATGGATGATGCCTTTTCTGCATTACAGAGATAAAGAAAATCCTCTGCACCTTCCACTCCATTTGTAAACACACATGGCACGAGCCCTTCGTGCAGGAGGAGGGGTGTGCTCATTGGGATTGCCACAACAGCACCCCATCCCACAAAACCCTTTTGTATGAACAAAACTCCCTGTTTTCCCGGAGCTGAATGGTTTGAGATGTGCTCGCTTTCCAAATCACTCATTAATCCCAGTTCATCCCTCTCACAGCCAGGCTTTAGTCGGCAGTTTACAATATAAACTTTTGGCAGGTACAGTGCTGAACCCTGAAACTCCCTCTCCAGTCCAGCACCTCCTCGCAGTCACCTTTGCTGCTCCCATCACCCATGTGTCATGTTCCCTGAGTGTTCACAGAGCCCCAAACCCTGACTCCATCACTCAGGTACCTTGTGGCAGGCGGCCGGTCACAGACACTGCATAGACACCTGGCTTGAAGGTACCTGCAGGAAAGAAAACCCTGAGTTACCCCACGTGGAGCAGCCAGGTGGGAATCCTCAACCTGTGCAGATGTCCCCTCACTGAGGGGCCACAGCCCAACCAGCAGCTCTCACTGCCCCTGAGAAGGGTTTCTAGAGAAGGGATCTCCAGCTCCCAAATTACTCACTGATCCGCTGCCACTTGGAGACCCAGCTGTCCTCAGGGCTCATCATGGCAATGATCCTGCGGGAAGGATGGCAGTGAGGGGACATCTCATTGCTGGGTGACCCCACAGTGCCACTTCAGTGTCCCTAGGCTCCAGAGGGACCAGAGCCGGGCCCAGCCTCACTCACCCATCGAAAGAGGAGCTGGTGCAGTCATAGACCATCTCGCGGTTCCCCTTCATCTGCAGGTAAGTCTCGCAGTTGTCACAGCCATCATACTCAAACTGGTCGATGGTCTAAGGGGACACGGGTGTCAGGGAGCAGGAGCAGCCGGGAGCCGGGGAAGGAGGGCCCGGGGCCAGGGAGCGCACGGAGGCTGCGGAGGGAGAAAGGCCCGGGCGGGGAAGGGCCGGGAACGGAGC